TACATTACATTACATTACATTACATTGCATTGCATTGCATTGCATTGCATTAATACATACATACATACGTACATACATACATACATACATACATACATACATACATACATACATACATACACACGCACACAAACTGCATCACAAACAGAACGTACAACGCGCACATTGCATACATGACCTGCATTACATGCCGAACATGCTACTGCTTAGATGACTGGTAAGAAGCCGTAAAGCAGATCTTGCTTAGGAGTTTCGTGCTTTGCCCTTGCAAAATCTTCTATATGTTTACGGTCGGTTCCGCGGAAGGTGCCTCGACTGCTCGACAGGCAAGTGATGAATCTATTTCAGTGCATCTGGTCATCATATAGTCCCAAGAAGCCCCTCAATGAAAAACAGAATCCCCCCCTGCCAGGGGCAGGTCGCTATAGCCACATCACCCGTAGCCCAGAACGGCATGAGCTCGCCTAGATCGACCACAAGCTCAATACATCTGCGTGCAAGCAAAGGTGCACCCGGCGCCCAAGGCTGTCTCTACCACGACAAAATGGGGAAGCAATTCCTCCGCGCCAGGGACTTATGGGGACTGGTTACGGGTTTTGTTAGGTTCTAAGAAGATTTACCAGCTTTTTCAACGGCTCAACCCTGAGCACTAAACCCGAAACCTTAAACCCCAAACCCTAAACACCACCAGCATATATAGACCCTATAACCCTAGTCCTCCAACCCTAAACCACTACCAGTACAGCTTCTTGCAATCCGTTTTTCGCAAGATCCTGCCAAAATGTATCACAAACACCGGGCGCAGGCGCGCAGAATTCGTGCAATCTGCTGCTGGAAAGATCCGGCCATGCCTTGTGTTGCGGAAAACTGGTGCGGGTGCGCATATAGACTGTGTAGAGCTTCTTGCAATACGTTTGTCGAAGACTCTCTGCTCTTGCATCCTGCGATGGACAATCTATGCTGTCAACGTCATGGCAACCGAGGCTAAAATCTGTTAAAACCCCTTGCAATAAGTATGGTAGGGTTCCACGTACTCAAACAGGTTAGACGTTACCCAAAAAACACACGTCATCTCTGAAACCCTCATGAAGCCTTCAGTCCTCCTAAGCCCGAAAAGCCTAGAACCACACACGATAATATACTATAATAATCTATAATATAATATATCGGAATCTAAATGTACTTAGCAGTACGATCATTCACGATAGTAAATACCATGATATACTACAAAACTTTTAAAAAAGCTGCAATGATGCCATATACCACGCGTGGATCTTGTCCGGCCTCCTTCAAGAACTGCTGGTCCTAGCGTCAGCATTTGCTTAACATGTGAGGGTGCCAGCTTAGGGACATCATGGTTCTTAGCAAGGAGACTTCGCATCAGGATCCTATAGGCTTGGGGGAACAAGGCCGGTTAGGGGGACTGGAAAACGCTCATTGACGTTTTGGTGCTGTGTTGGGACAAGCGGAACTGCGAACAAGTCTGTTTGTTTCCATTGGGAAAGCGGTTGCCAAACACAAATAAGGCGTAGGATCCACGTCACAAGTACGCCTAACTGTAAAAATGCATTGCTCATGCGAAAATCCCTTCCCCCGGTACAGCCCTTGACAACAACTTGAGTAACAACTTCAGACACGCTACAAACCCTTGTCAGCAACTAGTAGCAAACTTAGGTTTGCAGGGCCTAGGCTTTGGCTGCACGGTCACGGCAGGACAGGGCTGGGGCACAGAGAAGTTTCCGTCCGCATATCCTCAAAACTACGGCTCCAAAACCTTAATGCCGAAAAGCACGCTTCATTGGAGGAGCCCTAATCGCTAGTCGAAAGAAACCCTTCCTGAGAATTTTGTAGGAAATCTTGAGAGCAAGGAAACCTCAAAATAGAGACAAGACCAACTAGCGCTGCTGGCATCCCCTTCAAGTGTCTAAGTGGTTACACTACAACCAGCCACCGAGCCCTATTGTACTTATGAATGCCTCCCAAGCCCCAAGGATCTTCTTAAATCCTTTCTAGACCCGTTAAAAACCCGTGCGAGAACCGGATTTTTGAGCCTATTCACACTTCAAGAAGGCTGAAACCCGAAACCCTAGACCCCTAGCCGAAACCTTAAACACGAAAACCCTACTTGGAGGGTCGGGAGACTTAGTAAGTAGGTAATAAGTAGACTTATAAGTACCCTAAAAGGGACCCTAATTAGGGTTATAGTACTTATAAGTCTATAAAATACCCATTTACTAAGTCCCCCGACCCTCCAAGTAAGCCCTGTTCGGTCAGCCAGCCGAGCCGCGGGCCTCTGATGCACGGGGCTGGTAGGCCAACCTGGGAAGCTGGGGAGGTCGGAAAAACAAGTGCTTTAGGATAGGGTTTAGGGTTTAGGGTTTAGGGTTCAGGGTTTAGGGTTTAGGAATTACTGTAAAGACAGCCGCAAGGGTTGCTTTCTCTAGGGACTACTTTCAAGGCTACTTAAAGATGGCTGTTGGAGATGCCAGGTTTTGGATAAGGGGTACCGCCACCGGTAGAAACATGACTGCTCCATGACTACCTGTTTAGCGGTTCTGATTATGGTCTCTTAGGTAACTTAAGTTTTGTTCCAACTCTAAACCATCCAGCTGCCGGGATCTCTGTGGCTTGAGGCGTTGATTATGTCTTGCTGACCTTCTTTGGGGTCGGCATAGTTGTTCATCATCATCATCATCACCATCATCATCAAAATAATCAAAATAATCAAAATCATCATCATCATCATCATCATCATCATCATCATCATGCACAACATCATGCACAACATCATCAGTAACGGTAGCAACATCGTCATCATCGTGTCCTAAGCCGGCGGATCCAGAGCCCTTCTCAGACCTCCCCGGACCGTTCGTCCGAAAACCCGAATATAGGGGTCTTAAGAAGTAGGTTTTCCAACCATCACAGCAGTGTTTGGGGTAATTTTCTTATATATATATATATATATATAAACGTCAAGAACCCTAAGGAATGGCATTACGAACTATTTGGATTATCAGGCCCTGAACCCATAAACCCATGAACCAAACTTCTCGAGAAGCAGGGCTGTGCAAGTATCTACCGCCGAAAGTACACCCTAAATGCACCCCCTTCAAGTCCCTTCAAGATTTCTTCCTACGAATTCAGATGTTGCTTTATCGTTCAGCTCGAACATCATCCAATAGGCTCCCTACTCGGCCCTAATCGCCAAGGATACCTTCAAGCCTGACACGTGATACGCGAAACTCCCGCAAACTTCATTCCCGAACCTTCAACCTGTGTCTTAGGTCCAAGTCCCTGAAACATTCAATCCTTAGGGACCTTAGCGTGACTAGAATAGGGTTTCAATCATATTATGGTATTTCTTTGCTGACCCTAGGCTTCCAAGGACCTTATAGTTAGGGCCCTGGACCCCTTAAGGACCCAATAATAAGGTCCCTGGAAGCCTAGGGTGAAGAACCCCAAGGAATACTTGCTGACTTTTCCGACCCCTTACACTACCGTCCGGAGAACACTGATGCGCGACAACCCGCATTTGAACATGTCAGTCGGAAGCAAGCCGTTGCGCGGAGAAGTCTGCACACAAGCCGCACTCAAGCGTTAGCTTCGGGATTAGGGTTTCGGGTTTGCAACCCAAACGCAATTTCTTAATCCATATGGACAAACTCCTACTTAGACCCTTGTCCCCTCAACCTAACATCCGAAAGCCTAATACCAAGCTCGCTGCTCCCTAAACCCCTGACCCCTGAACCCATAATTCCTAAAGCCCAGACCCATACCCGGTTGTACATCTAAGGCCTTAGGCCTCTGGGGTTAGAGGCCTCGATGCCGGTGGAAGGTCACAGCATCTTGTCCAGCTGCGAGAGTGCATCTAAAGCACCAACGCCACCGATGGACACGCTCCTTGCCTTGCGTGGTCTTGGCTTTGGGGTTCAAAGGTTTAGTGTGGTCTAGGATACACCCCTTGCCTTGTTTAGCACTTCGAATTTGAGTTTTTACAGAACAAGTATTCGCCCTAACCCAAAACAATCAAAACCCTAAACCCTAAACCCTAAACCGTTATAGACAAGTCCAAAATGGACGATCTCCACTCCAGGCTGCTTTTAAAGCTGCAGGTACATCGCTGTCATCCCAGTTGATGCGAATCCTGGGCTCTTCTTCTGGTTTGGTTTCGGGTTTAGGGTTTAGGGTTTAGGGTTTAGGGTTTAGGGTTTAAGCCTTTTTCTTCAAGAATAAGGTAGGGGCGCAGCACCCACTTGTCGCGCGCTTGTGTGAACATGTAGTCCCGCCTGCTTGGGGTGGGAGCCCCCCCGCAAAAAATCGTGCTTTTTGTATATATGTTTCGCGTCTTATGGTAATTGCCGTCCCGGAATCTACCAGCCTGGGCCCCAGACCCCCCTAAGGGCACCACCAGAATTCCCAGGCCAGGCCCAAAAAACTACCGTTGCCCGCAATGGTGCGGGGTTGGGGTTCATATGTAGCCGAGTCATTTCCGACCCCGCATACCGGGCTCCCTCACCGCTCTGACGAGACGCTCGGCCGGGGACCTCGGTCGCAGCCTCGAGCGCCCATGCAAATGGTCAGCGGCGCTCTCGGCAGTTCAGGGTATAGGGGTTCAGTAAACTAGTTTAAGTTGCCCAAATAATATATAAACTCAACATGAATCCAGTCTTGGAGAGTTGAAAATTGTTGTTTTGGGATTTGGAGTTTTGGAGTTTTACTTTAGCACTCGTATTTGTGGGCTGAAGGTTTGGAACTTCCGCTAATCCAAAACATTTCTCAGAATGGCCTGGAATCAAAGTGGCATTCTCGCACTGCGACAGAACTCGCTCGGAGTGCATTCGGATGGTCGGGACGGCCTAAGTTCCGGCAAAATCATAACTTCTGCACACATGTTGGGACTTCAACAGAAAGGGAACCCTCTTTGGAAACGTGAAACATCAGATCCCGAATGCTTGAACTCTCACACCCCAAAACATCTGCAAAACACTTGGGTACGACATAGGGCCTTAGTAGTTACCTACCCAATTATTTTGGTGTTCCTTATGATAAACATAGTATACTATATCCCAACACCTTATGCTAATTATTAAGAAGGCCCCAGCAGTAGGGCTTTACTTGGAGGTTAATGGGTAGTTATAGGGTTCCTTTCAGGGTGCCTTCAACGGGTCTACTGGGAGGTTCATGGGTAGTTGTAGGGTTCCTTTGAAGGTTCCTTTCAGGACTTCTTTTAAGGGTTCTATAGGGGCCCCTCCTTGCCAGCTCCCACTTCGACCACCACCAGCTTTGCATCCGTCGGCATCTCCCCCATCCAAGCCTCGGGGTTTAGAGCCACGGTTTAGGGTTTAGGGTTTTGGGTTTAGGGTTTATAGGGCTTAGGGGTTGGCCAAAACAAGCCTCGGGGTTTAGGTTCAGGGTGTTCTGTGGGGGTTTATGGCTTGTGGGTTTAGGGGTTCGGGGTTTAGGGGCTTAGGGTTTACGGTTTAAACGCCCCGAAACAGTTCAAGCTTTGAAAGACAGACCACGCATAGACTAGAAGGCCAAGAAAAAAGGTCTAAAGCTTCCCGCTTGCTTGGCCGTCTAAGAAGCTCGGAATGCTTGGTTCTGTGCACTGATGATGTCGTCGTTGACGCCCCAGTCACCAAACCTGTCCAGCAACCCGAGGACATGAACAAGGTCAGACTCTCAGTTTAAGCGCTACTAACGGTTTAGGGTTTAGGGTTTAGGGTTTAGGGTTTTAGGGTTTTAGGGTTTAGGGTTTAGGGTTTTAGGGTTTAGGGTTTAGGCTACATTACAAGAGCCCCCGAAACAAAATGGCTCAGGGAGTTTAGGGTTGAAGTCCAAGCCCCTTGGGCCCACAACAGAAAAGACTTAAAAGGGTCACCTACCCAACCCGTAAGCTGTTGGAGAGCGAAGAAGCATCAAAACGTTTGGCCGCGCCGGCTGCTTGTCAGAGCTGACCGGCAGCGGTGAGGTGGGCAGGGCTCGCAACAGGTCCTTTGCTGGCTGAGGGCTCTACCCTAAACCCTAAACCCTAAACCCTAAACCCTAAACTCTACGGGTTTACGACTTTGAGCCAATGTGAGCGGTGAAGTCGAGCCTCTAGAGACTTAAAAGGTTTTGAGTTCTAGGGATTATGGCTTACCCTAGGCTTCCAAGGACCTCATAGTTAGGGCCCTAGACCCTTTAAGGACCCAATAATAAGGTCCCTGGAAGTCTAGGGTTAGGGGGTACTGACCGTGCGACTGAGATCAAGAAGGTTGTAGGGCATTCTAGGGTTTTGGGGCTCGTCCCGGTGTCCGGGGCAGCACACAGCGCTCTCCTGTGGCTTATAAGGTGGCTCAGGACATCAAAACTCCACACCCTGCACCCTTAAACCTGTAAGCTCTACTCTAAACCAATATCTAGGGGCCTCAGGATCTACAGTCTTCTATAGTACTGCTAGTCTTACCCTTGGGATTCCTTACCACCTTACTGTATTAAAAACCAATGCCATCCCGGAATCAGGTCCATCCCTTCGACGAACAGCGCGGGCTGCGATCGGGCGCCCATCCACTGCCAAGGAACACCCGTCATCCTTTTCAACGTGTTCCCGATCAGGGTTCTATGCAGGCTTCTACAAGGGTTGCATGAGGGGTCCCTTAAGAATTCAAGTTACAGGGCTTTAGGGTTTATACGGTTCACCCTAAATGCGCAGTCAATCTAGCTCACTTCTATGATACGTCCTGCACCACGGCCTCCACCTCCTCGGTGGATCCTGAGGAACGTCGGACAAGGACCGACTCCCCAGGAACCAAATCCCACTCCTTAGGGGCTGAGTACCCTTGTCCAAAAAAGGTTAACCTTTTAAATTGCCCTAAGGGTCCATGTACCCAAATCGTGGAACATTGGCCTTAATGTAGTTCATATATGGGTACTTTAGGGCCAATGTCCTACTATTTGGGTACATGGACCCTTGGGGTTGTAGTAGGATTATAAGAACCCCAAAAGGTTAAAGGTTACCTACTCAGCCACTAAGACTCAGGGACAGCGATCCTGGCAATCTCTTCCGGGTCCGTCCGCCAAATGCTCCCAGCCTCTGGCTTCGGGTGCGAGTCGCTGGCGACTATGACAACAAAAACGGCCCTTAATTGAAGGTGGGTACCCCGATTGAACCCTACTGTACACCCGAAACCCTAAACCCTAAACCCTAAACTCTAAACCCTAAATTCTAAACTCTAAACCCTAAACCCTTTTTTGAGATTAAGGGTTTTGGGGGGCTCTCAGTCCTCGCGACACCGATCCTCAACGCACTGCATCCGCGTGAGGGCCCCGTGGCACTCGTAGATCCTCGAATTCTGTTTTTTGACTTTTATAGGGTTTAGGGTTTAGGGTTTAGGGTTTAGGCTTGTACAGGGCTCATAAACCCAAAGGCCCTTTCAACTCTTCAAAAGGCCATGCCTCTTCAAGGCCTGAAGGTTTACGCAGTGAGATTCTCTTAGGGGCAGAGTACCCTAGCCCAAAAAAGGTTAACCTTTTCCATTATAGTAGGATCATATAAGCCCCAAAAGGTTAAAGTTTAAAGGTTATCTACTCAGCTACTAAGTAAAACCCTGAACCCTAGCCCTAAACCCTAAACCCTAAACCCTAAACCCTAAACCGAAAAGGTTAAAGGTTATCTACTCAGCTACTAACTTCTGCACAGCTTCCTGAAAGTCTGGGGCCCACACCGCACCAACTCTGACCCGAGGCTTCGGGCTTTTGAGTTCACAGGGTTCACTTAAAAGTAAAGCATAACCTCAACCCTAAACCCTATCAGGGCTTCTAGGACCCTGAACCCTAAACCCTTAAACCCTAAACCGTTTTTGGGTTTTAGTTTCCGAAAATAGGGGACCCTAATATAGTACCATAAATAGCAGGTCCCTTATTATAAGGACCCGCCAAATAAGGTACCCCTATTTTCGGAAACCCCCACATAACCTAAACCCTAAGCCCTATCAGGGCTTCTAGGACCCTAAACCCTAAACCCCTGAAGCCGAAACCCTAAACCGTTTTTGGGGTTTAAAACCCCGCTTATATTTTAATATACCCCTGGATGACCCTGAACTGCAGATCCTGAGCAGCCAAGTCGCCTCCCCTCTCCGATGCCTTCCGTGCGCTCCCAATGCCCGTCGATATTCGACGTCACAGAGAAGCAGCCATGCCTTCAACACTTCTATTAGGTTTAGGGTTTAGGGTTTAGGTTCTAGGGTTTAGGGCTTTAGGGTACTTTATATCGGGGCCTGAAGAATAAGAATAGGGTTTGGGGGCCCATAATACTATATTTCTAATGAAAAAGAAGAATCATCCACTAGCTATGAGTTGCGCTTTCACCCCACGACCCTCCACACGCACAAAACCTCACTTCCCAACGAACAACACCTCAAACCCATATTGGTAAATATTTAAGACCCTGCATATATTCCTACATAGCTTTGATATAAGCGGTTGCTGTACTGGAACCGCCCTAAATATTAAACCCCTAAACCTCTGAATCATTACATAGGATGATATGTTTGGGTTTAAAGTTCCCTAAGCCCTAAACCCAAACATACCATCCTAACCCCCGCGAAGATCCCCAAACAATCTACCTTTCTTGGACTCAGATGAGGAAGTCACACGAAGGAGCCTGAAAAAGGCATTTTTCCAGCATCCAAATTGGGTTTGTGGTCTTTTTCGCTGCTACGATTTCGGTGGCTGATAGAGTTTCGCGAGTTTCAGCCTTTGCCACAGAGCCCTACGATTGTGAGCCTGAGCCAAAAAACCCTGAAACCCCTATCGGAAGTCTTCAAAACAAATACCTAAGCCCTAAACCCAAACCCCCTAAACCCTAAACCCATTAGGGAACCCTTAAATCCCAAACCCTAAATCCTAAACCCATTAGGGAACCCTCAAACCCCAAACCCCTAAATCTTAAACCCAGTAGGGAACCCTTACACCCCAAACCCCTGAATCCTAAACCCGTTAGGGAACCCTTAAACCCAAACTCCTAAACCCACTAAGGAGCCCAACAATCAAAAAAAGCAACCCAAACCCTAAACCCAAAGCCCCAAGCCCCAAACCCCAAACCCTAAACCCCAAACCCTAGTCCCCAAACCCTAAACTCCAAACCCTAAACCCAAAACCCCAAACCCCAGTCCCCAAACCCCCTAAACCCCAAAACCCCTAAACCCCAAACCCTAAAGCCCGGAACCCAAACCCCAAAACCCCAAAACCCCAAACCCTAAAGCCCGGAACCCTAAACCCCTAAACCCTAAATCCCTAAACCCTAAACCCATTCAGGACCCCAAGAATATAAAAAACAACCTAAACCCTAAACCCAAAGCCCCAAACCCCAAAACCCATTAAGGACCCTCTACTGTTACTATTACTACTGCTATTATTACTACTACTACTGCTATTACCCAAGAATCGCTCCTCATCTTCTGCCCCCACTTTGCCAGGATCCGGTAGCCTCGGTGCCCCAGTAGCCCCTTTCAGGATAAGGGTTTAGGGTTTAGGGTTTAGGGTTTAGGGTTTAGGGTTTAGGGATTGGTTTAATAAGGGAACCCAAAAGGAAAAAAGGGCAAAAGGGTGATATTGGGGATCCGGTAGCCGTCGTGCGGAGCACCCAAGACGTAGGCTTGGTGCCGGAACTTCCAAAAAGCCCAGGCCAGTCTGGAGGTGAGAAGTTTCAGATTTTTGCTCGGGGGTTGTAGGATGGTATAGGGTTTAGGGTTAAGTTTGAGATTTTTGCTCGGGGGTTGTAGGACTGTATAGGGTTTAGGGTTTGCAGTGGTGTGCTTGGCTGTTTTGCGGGATCTTGAGCATCCAGGGCTTAGCGATGCGTATGGTGTTCGTGGATTCAGGGTTTACAAACAGATTCTGCGTGACTTGGCAAAGATGATGTCGAACATAGCTCAAACATTGCTTGGGTTGCTGCGAGGGAACGGGACATCTTGGCGACAGACAGAGATGCTTGCAATATCGCCAATTTACTCGTGCTCCCCATACCATGGCTGCCTTAGGCATATGTTGAGCCGTTGCTGCCATCCGATTGCGCCCACGATCGGCGCCATGATCTGAACCCTATGACAAACCTGATGTAAAAGCCTAAATAATGAGAATAGGGTTTTGGGGCCAATAGTAGCATACTCATAATAAGGCGCCCCCCCTGATGCCAACAAACTGCCCATAGGCCCCATAGTAGTTCCTTTTTGGGATTCCCCAATAGAATCCTAAATATAAGCCACAAAAAGGAACTACGATGGGGCCTATGGGTACCTACATCATCAGAACCCAAGGCATCGGTCCGCTTCGTTCGATGCTTAGGGGTTTAGGGTTTTGGGTTTAGAGTTTTGGGTTTAGGGTTTTAGGGTTTAGGGTTTTAGGGTTTATGGCTTCGGTTTTTTTGGGGGTTTAGGGTTTAGATTTTTTTTTGGGGTTTTAGGGTTGAGGGTATACCCTTCAGATTAAACCATGAGGTTAGGGCTTCAAGGCCTTCGGGTAAGGCACTTTGCATATTCTACGCTTCATAGGGCTTGTTCAGGTTTTTGTGGTACCTTCAACGGGCTTTGCTACGGCTGCTCCACATCTTACACTACAAAGGTACATGGGATGCGAGGCGTAAGCTCTATTAAGGCTTGGTCCAGAAGGACTTTGTCTGCCCAAACCACAGGAGCCTTCAAACTAACAACGCTCACAGCTACGCAGCCCTCGCCATATTCTCGGAATCCGAAGCCTTCGAGCTATAGGCCCCAAACTCAGTAGCTCGAAGCTCTCGGCTCTAAATGTATGCCTCGGGTCGTGATTGAAAAAGCCGGGGCTGGACATCTCCTTGGCGGTGGTTCTTTTTCTCGCTAATGTTTGTTCGATGATTGTTGAAGGATTTGGGTAGGCTTTGAGGCTTTGATATAGCATAGGATGGCTTAAGGATGAATATCTTTATGATTCGGACCATTAAACCCGGAGCGCCAAACTCTGAACTCTTAACATACATCCTGTTCCTACACCCTTGATGGGCACCCCTACTTCATGAGTATGCTGATGTTTTCATTTGTTTGCTGCACAGAAAAAACCTATTCTCCGCCATCAAAGGAGAGAGCGATAGAGTGGATACTACCAATTCTTTCAGGTAGGCGTAGGTTCTAAGGCTGTCTTCGTTTAGCGGGATAGTCAGATGCAGGCCCACCCTGAAGCTTCAACCCATAGTAGGGCCCAAAAGGGTTCAAAATAGGTTACCTACTCTACCACAAAGAGTAAACCTGGCTCAAACTCAAACCCCTCCCCGCCCCTAACCCCTAAACCCTAAACCGACCCTTCAAATCCCTCCAACATCGACACCGTAGCCCCAACCTCTATCGATCCCTTCCCTTCGTCAGGGGCCTGTTTGGGATCCTACGGTCAAGGTCAAGGCCCTCAGAAAGGGGGTGGGGTTTAGGGTTTAGGGTTTAGGGTTTAGGGTTTAGGGTTTAGGTTTATGAATCAGGGTCGGAAGGTCCTCGAACGTTAACCCCCGCCACCTCTGCACCAAATAAGCTCGAATGTAGGGGCCTTAATAATTAGAATAGGGGTTTGGGGCCCTTTAGAGTATGTTTAAATAATGAAAATAGGTATTTATTTGGGCCCCTATAGTAACCCAACATCAACAGAACTGAAAGCTACAAATCCCAGAACCCCAGGATGAAAGCCACTTGCTGACAATTATGTAAGCAGATATACCCTAAACCCTGATTACCCTAATGACCCTAAACCCAAAACATGTAGGGTATAAGCCTAATGTGGGTTGTGTGCGGTCTAGGGCTTAAGGCTGAGAGCCTGTCTTGAGGTGTTTCAAGCCTCAGAAGCCTACCCCTCAAGGCACCCTTATAAAGGAACCTAGCCAAAAACCCTAAACCCTAAACCCTAAACCCTAAACCCCTAAACTCCTAAACCCTAAACCCTAAACCCCTAAACCCTAAAACCCCCAAAGAAGCCTTTCCAGGGAACCCCAGGGGCCCAAGCAGTCAATTGGAAAGCTTCGGCCCAGAAACTTCCGATGTGATGCTGCTGGGATCCCAAACTGTGAACTCTAAACTAAACTCCTACAAGAAGGACCAGAATAGTTCGAACAGGACTGTTGGGTGTATAGTCAGAGAAGAATCATGATAAGGAACTCCAAGAAACAACACTTGGTATAATTATTCAGGCTTCTGTGGTAGAAGAATCTGGCTACTTGCAGATCTTGCAGGATCGAGAGGCCGAGTACGTAGGTTCCAAGGAAGCTTCTAAGTACCATATAACCCCAAACCAACGTGATTAGGGTGTCGGGCTTGGGCGCTAAGGTTCTACTAAACCATAAGTCTGCAAGCCCTCTGATCCTTAGGAAGGCGTCGCTGAAATCCATCTGCATGGCTTTCAGAGGCGGCCATACTCCTGCACCAAGGTTTGGCGGGCTTTCTACGACCCTGGCACAAGCTTTCTGCGGATTCCTCCGAAAGCCCTAAACCCTAAACCCTAAACCCTATAGTCGCGAGGGTCCAGGTTTCGAGATGCGGGGTTTACGGTCCTATGGGTTCTGCCAAGTTTTCCGAAAGGGAACATACCACGAGACCCTGATGAGACTCTGAATTTCCAAACCTGAACCCTATAAACCCAAGGTCCATGAACCATAAAAACCCAAACCGTCCGACCCAAAATCATGCAGAATCCGAGGTCTATATGAACGCTGAACTGAACCTGTAACCCAAAACCCTAAACCCTAAACCCCAACCCCAAAACCCCAAAACCCCTAAACCCTAACCTAACCCCCTTGTCTCATCCACACATGCAAAAAACCGAGCAACCCAACGGGCAGCACTCAGGATGACCCAGCAAAAAACCGTAGATGAGATGCCTTAGGGTTTAGGGTTTAGGGGTTTAGGGGCTTTTGGTTTAGGGCTTTAGGGGTTTGGGGTTTATGGTAGCCCTACATAAACCCCCCAAAAAGTACGCAAGATAACGGCCCCCCAAACCCTACAAAACGGCGACTATTCTGCAAAAAATCGGGGTGCAGGTGGAGCCTGATACCCGAAAACCCTGAAAGCACACACTCGCGCCCAAATCCTAAGAACCTAAACCCTTGAGGCGTGCAACGCTAAACCCTAAACCTAAACCCGAAACCCTAAACCCTAAACCCTAAACCCTAAACCCTAAACCCTAAACCGTGCATCAGCAGCGACCTGCATTCCGTCCACGGAAAGTACCCAGCCCGGAGTCAACTCCCATCCTCGCATCTTCGGGCTTGGGGTTTAGGGGTTTAGGAGCTTAGGGGTTTAGGGGTTTAGGGTTAAAGGGGTTTAGGGGTTTAGGGTTTAGGGGTTTAGAGTTTAGGGCTTTAGGGTTTAGGGTTTGGGGTTTGGGGTTTGGGGTTTAGGGTTTAGGGCTCACGAGGCTTGATTGTAACTACGATTGCTACTGCTCCTACTACTGCTGCTGCCAGTATTGCTACTGCTGATCTCCTACTCCCACTCCCACCCACTCTCTCTGTCGCACTTCCGCTCCTCCCCCTACCATACTTCTCCGCCTCCTCCTGCTGCTACTGCTGCTACCGCTACGACGAATACTACTACAAGGCCAAGGCCCTTAAATATGCTATTGATCAGCCACAAGTTTGCATTCATCTACCCTACATGCTTCCTGCGCAAACAGGACCCGACTGAAAAATCATAGCACTACATGACAAGTAAACCCCAAACCGCTAGACCCTACCTCTTATTATGAAACGAGTGGGCTTCAAGGTAGACCCAAAACGATTGCCAGGCTTCTGGTTTAGGGTTTGAAATAGGATTCATGTAGACGGCTCATTAATCACACTCATTCCCCCTTTTTTGTAAGGGTCCAGGTGCCGATAATATATACTTTGCTCCAAAAGAACCTTTTTCGGGACTACTTTAAAGCCAAAGTCGGGGCTGAGTACCCTAGCCCCAAAAAGGTTAACCTTTTGAATTATAGTAGGGTTATAAGAGCCCCAAACTGATAAAGGTTACCTACTCAGCCACTAAGATGCTCCAAGAGTGTTGCCATTGAAGAAGGGAGGTCAACCAGTAGGGGTGGTAGGGGTTAGGACGGTTAGGGGTTTAGGGCTTAAGGTTTAGGCTTTCGGGTTTAGGGATTAGGGCTTCATCCAATCCATTCAAGCAGGGAGGTCTACCAACCAGGGCCCTACACTAACGATTTGGAGTTGACTGATCTGCTGATTCAGCAACTCACGTGCCGAAGATGCTCCTCCCTGTAACTGGGTCGGGCAAGCACCCCACAGTTGAAGGTCTCGTTTAGGGGGTTTAGGAGTTTAGGGTGCTGTAATGCTAATCGAAACTTGCAGCACCCAGGCTCGGAATTGCAAAGCAACAAGTTGTCAAGCGCAAGAGGCATGATGCAGAAACTGTTACCAAGACAGACAAAGCATCCCGGCGCCGGTGCAGATCAACCTCCGCAGGGGGCAAAAGAAATAATCTGCAAGCATGCTAGTGCTGTACATGCGAAGCTCTGTATATATTTAAGATTCCGGAAGACCTGAATATCTGTGATCAAGCCGAAGGTGTGTAATTGAAAGGAGCCCTGTCTGAAACCTACGTAGTCACATTACAGCCGCCGCCCGAGATCACAATCCAGCAACCTGTCTAGGTTCCCCAGTAGCCCCTAAATAATAAGGGTACCCTTTTTTTCTACTATTTGGGTTGATTCAGGGAAGCCAAAAGCAAAAAAGGGCAAAAGGGTACCACTGGGGAACCTAGCTGTTGAAAGCAACATAAGCCTTGCAGAGCCCAGCCAATTGCTGCAGACAGGCTTGCGCCTCTAAGATCTGGACCCACTGACCCACTGCCCAGTAAACGTACACACTTTACACCCCTCAACCTCAACATCGCAAGCAATGTTTCTGGATCATGGGGGACCCCAAGAATGAACCCGAAACACATGCACCCTCAAAATTAACAACCAAGAGAAGCACATATTGCAAGAAAGCTCCTCTGCTACATGCCGGAAGCTCCTAAAAACCGAAACTCAAACACTCAAACCCGAAACGCATAAACTCAAGACTCGAAAACCTGAGCCGTAAGAACCCTAAACCCCTGAATCCTGAACCGTAACAAACCCCGAAGTCTTTGAGCCTTAAGCCGGAAGCCGATAAATCCCTATACACCCTAAACCCTGAATCCCAAAACGCTTGAACCCTATCCTCGCCTGCCCGGTTTAGGGTTTAGGCCCCAAAACCCTAAACCCATCGGAAACCTCAACGGAACCTCTAAGGCCTTTACCAGGTTGGCCCTCCAAAGCCTCCGTAGATAAGATCCTCTTGAGCCCAACGAGGGAAGAAATTCAATCTCCCAAAGGCCTACCCGCGAAACCGTAATGGGAATCCTTATGGTACCCCGAATTATAAGGGTTCCCCTATAGATTACTCAAAGACTCCCCTATTAGTACCCCTATAGATCCGCCTAAACCGACCCTAAACCCTAAACCCCTGAACAGCATCTGAACCCGCAGTCGAACCAGACAAATCTCTCTAACCCTCCAGGTACTTACTACATAGGGCCCTTGGGGCTCTAGTACCCTAAATAGTAGGTACCTGGGGGGCTAGGGTCTTCTGCGAACTAAAGGGCAGGGCATCCGCAGAGCGCAGGGCCGCCGCAGCGGTTTTCAAGCTCGACTCCATGGCTGTGGCTGAGGGGTCTATAGGTTTTAGGGCTTTATTATAGGGTTTAGTGTTTAGGGTCTCAGGGATTAGAGTATGGTCCAGGTTTTAAGGCTCTATTACGGTTTAGTGTTTAGGGTCTCAGGGATTAGAGTATGGTCTAGGTTTTGGGGCTTTATTAGGGTTTAGTGTTTAGGGTCTCAGGGATTAGAGTATGGTCTAAGTTTTAGGGCTTTATTAGGGTATTAGGGTTTAGGGTTTCAGGGATTAGAGTATGGTCTAGGCTTGCAGCTTGGCGTTTAGGGTTGTATGGTCTGGGGGTTTTGGTTCTTGGGCCCAGAGATACCACTCCAGTGGTGCCAATGGCAAGGATCCCGCTCTTTAGGGTAATGTAGGGGTTTTAGTGACCTTAATGATTAGAATAGGGTTTGGGGGTATAGCAGACCAAAACTATCACAAAGAATCCCCAAAATAGTATTGGTGATTGTCTAGCCCCCTATATTATGTATGAGGATCCATTGGCTTCGGTTTTCAAGGAGGGTGGGACCTTTCTTCGGGCTTCAGGGACGAGGACCCAGGTTTCTAGCAACAATGGCTGCGGCGAAAGCCTGGGGGTTCAACAAACCCTAAACCCTAAACCCCAAAACCCCAAAACCCGAAAACCCTAAACCCTAAACCCTAAACCCCAAAACCCTAACCCCTAAACCCTAAACCCTAAACCAACAACCCTAAACCTAAACCCTAAACCTTATAAGGGCCCATCTCAGGGTCTTCAGAAGGGCTCCGTAAAAGTTCCTCCAGGGGGCTTAGTGTAGTAATTACATACACCTCAAGAGGCCAAAGACGACCTTTCCACTACCCCAAACCCACGTACCTAATTGCTGAAGACGCGAGCCTAAAGTCATGAGCAACTGGCGCCGAAGTGCACCCGAACAAGCAAACAAGACTCCCTCAAAACCCCAAACCACCAAACAAACCAAAAAGTCCTAAACCCTAAACGCTAAACCCTAATCCCTGACTAGCCCCGAAAGTCCCAAAAACCCGCGACACCCCAACCCGAGGCGTTTTCGGTTCGGTCCCGGAGCTTGAAATCAGGATCTCATGCCGCAGGTCGGGGGGCTTCAGCGTTACTTCTCTGGGGTTTAGGGTTGAGGGCTTAAGGTTTAGGGTTTAGGGTTTGGGGTTTAGGGTTTAGGGTTTAAGGTTTAGGGTTTAGGGATTAAGTTAAGGCTTACCGGGGGTCTAGGGGGGGGGTCTGGGGCTGTTTAAGGTTCATCGCGCTTAGCGCGGTTAGGCTCTAGGGTTTTCTTAGCCAGGTGTCGATTTCAACAGTTCGCAAAGTTATCCGGGACACGAGAAAGTAAACGCTATCCAAGACAAATCCTAATGCCCGGAGTAAGTCAAACAGTATATAAGTTCTATGCACCAAACAACTCCGGTACCCTAAACCCTAAACCCTTACTGGACCATGAACTCCAAAACCCTGAGCCGCATGTCATTCCCAGGCCCTGTAGTATCAACAAGAGCCTCGATATGCCAAGACACAGCAAGAGTGTCGAGGACGATGGCGGCATGAGATCGAACAAGGTTTGCCCTAAGTGCCAGTCTACTAAATTAACAAACAGACTGTTCAGCTTGATCTCTTGGGTTGAGGTGTTTGGGAAAGGGTTGACAAGTTGACAAACTCTAGGCACAACCTAAAGCCGAACACCAACATCAAAACTTCAAGCTCGTCTGGACCCTCCGGGGCATACGATCCTCTAAGGCAGAGACGGTAAATCGGTGTGATAATGCTGAAGGTTCAGAGTTTAGGGCAATGTAGGTCAAATCCAAGCAGCTTGCCCGTACGGGTATTGAAGTAGAGTGGTATACAGTGAATGCTGCCTGCTTACGAGGCACTGTAGCAGACTGTAGCAGCATTTGGGAAGCCTTCCCAGGCTACGAGGCTTTGCGGCTCTCTGAGAACGGCCACCGTGATCTGAATTGGCTTTTCGGGTTTCGGATTTGGGGTATTACAGGATCTTCAGGATGTCTAGTGGAGTTTTACAAGGCTTCCAGGGTGTTGAGAAGAGATCCATGGACTCCCAAATCCCTCGACGAAGGACTATTCTCAGTTTTGATCGGGGTCTGGAAGAAAGCGGGGCTTGATTCAGGGGCATCGCAGTCTTTGAACAAAAACTGTTATGGGTCTGTTTTTTGCCGGTTTTTGCGAGGTTTGGCGGTACATTTCCGCAACTTAACTGTGACACTGTGGGGAGCCTCGGGCCTGGAAACGTAGAGGTGGAGGGCTCTGGAACATTAGGGTTTACCTGTGGTCTCCATTGTGGTTCATTGTTTTGGTTTAGCCAATTATATAATAAGGATTTTATAAGGTATCCCCAAAAAGGAACTACAATTGAGACTACAGGTAGGGTTTAGGGGATTGAGGGTTCAGGTTGGGGGCATGCTGGCGTGGGGTGAGCATAGTCGGCAAGATTGTGGCTCCCGTATAGTCCACAGACAATCCCGACACACAGGTCCAAAATGCTGAACCCTCCCCCCCTCACCCTAAACCCTAAACCCTAAACCCTAAACCCTAAACCCTAAACCCTAA